GCTCTATTTGTGGGTCACGTAAACACGCACCATCCCCTGGAAACATTTGAAGCGCCGCCAAACGAAACGCAAACGATCTGTGCGCAAAACAGCAATAACGACGAGTAAACGGTTTGATTTGAACGAACTGATAAGAAATCGTAGGTATGAAGATATGCTGGAGAATTTGTAACTATCGTCGCGACCATATATTATATTCCTAGAAATCTCCTTTGAAGTGATGCATTCTGTGTATACAATATTATGAAAACACAAAGTAGACGCGTTGGCAGCACCCGACCCGCAAAGTTTTAATGACTTTTAGATAGGTATATTATATAGCGAAATCGGCTTTACTTAAAGTTTATGATCTAGACGAGGCGGCRGCTGTGGTTAATTAACAGGACCAGACTGCGGTAATATCTTGCAGCGTTTTGATAAATAATAAAAACAATACAAATCAACTATTACGCTTAATGATATGTATATATTTTTTAAAGAATTCGCGAGTGTACTAACGTTCTGTGCTACGCGCGTGACCAATTATTATGTGGATATCGGCTCAGAAACGAACAGAAATTGCCTCCTTATATATGTTTTATTTCTCGAGCTCGGTCGATTGATTTTCGTACGACGATCTATGGCTAGAGTTTATGTTTTACCTAWAAATATTATGTTGTACAACGAACAACGRATAGTGAAACAGATGTTTAAATATCATACGACAAGAAATGTTTGCATAAATCGCTGCAAATGGTTAAGGTGGTCACAGACCACGGTGCAGTCTTAAAACGAATTGCAAGTATAATACAMTTTAATATACATTTTAACGAACTATTAAAAATTGTAAACGAAAAATAACTAAAAGTCTCGCTGTTAACTAGCATCGTGTTGTATTTTTTTTTTTTAAATTCAAACACAACTACAAGCGGTGGTGTTCTTAAAAAAAATWAAAAAAATAATAGATGACTTGAATCAAACATATTATTGTTGTCATAACTATAAACTCAATATCTATATATGCGCGTATATTAATATTACTTAGCATATAATGGTACSTTAAAATCATCTCAAATAGACGATATAGTAATGTTTAACACACATGGGCTCATAGACGTATAACCACCGATTATAAATAATAATAGTATTTTATAATCAATTTGGMATACCACTATAGCGCATGCGTAAATAATTATGCAATATATAAGATGTATAAAATATGCCTATAAATTATTTATACACGTACGCAGTAGGTGCAATTGTGTGTCGTGTGCGTGCGTGTTTTTGTGAAGGTTTGTGAAGTTTTGATAGCGTTTTACACACAAATCGTAATACCGCATAAGACAGTGTATAACTACAAAATTATACCATAACATATACATAAATTATACAATATTCTTCATATAATTTTATTACGCCGAAACAATAAAGCAAGACGATTTTAAATTGAACAAGACGTACACTATCGTACTAATTTGTACAATAAATATTTGCTCAACGATTTATTATTTCGCCGGTCGCGCGTACGACGGCGGTGTCGCGTTGGTTGTAAAGTAACCGGAAGCACGCGTGCATGTATAATACGTAATATTGTGAGAATACAGTGGAAATAACAATAACAATATATAATATATAATATATTATTATTATTATTATTATTATTATATTATTACCACCGTGCAGTCGCGAGAGTGTGTGCGGAATCGCGGGCGCGAGGGTGTGTGTGAGATTGCGGTGATAGCTAGCGAGTGAGTCGTCGTACCTTTATTACTTTACGGACGCGCACTCTCTCTCTCACACACACACACACACACACCCACACACACGCATTATACACATTATAGGTATATACTTGTACAACATAATAATAATGTATACGTGAACGGGCGCGCGCCACTTGGCAACGCGAAACGGATAGATAAGCGCGCTGTAATTCGCATTGGCATTATCGCGCGCACATCTCTGTCGCGACCCCGCCACCGCCACCGTCTCCGGGCCCGCGCCACGCACACGCTCCATGCATACAATAAATATATATATATATATATATACATATACATATATGATTACACACACACACACACACATATATTACATATATTATGTATATGATGGTGTTACGATGTGTGTAAAACGCTATCAAAACTCCGCACACAAAYACGCACGCACGCGACACACAATTGCGCCTACTGTATATGTATAATAATATGCAATATAATATGTATGTATATATAGGTATATTTTTTACATAATATATTATGTATGTATTGTACATCCACAGCGTTATAACCTTTATACACGTTCGGACCACCGGCAAGGGGTGTGCGTGTGTGTGTGTTTGATGAGCGGAGAAGGGCGATGGTACCGAAGAGATAGGGTTAATATAATAATATAAAATCGTCGTGTACACGCATTCGTGTGCGTTTGCATTTAGTGCTATTTATATGTATATATATATATATATATATAGAGAGAGAGAGACGTAATATTACATTGTCTTTGCGCGTGTGCGACATATACCCCTCTGCACCTCTCACTACCCCCTCATCGCCTGCAGAACAATTCTTCCGCCGTGTCCTAAGCTCACAGTACCTATAATATAATAACCCACGCGAGTTATACTATACAGAATAGCTATAATTAATATGTAAGTTCCCCAGACTAGAAATGCAAATTCAGTAAATATTATTATATATTGTATATATATACATATATTGGTATCAGCCACTGCAATGTACATCAACACACGTGTAGATTTGTGATACGACTGATACGAGCACAATATCTCCTCAGATGCTGCCTAGTCCTTCATAGTTATAGAAAAACATAAATTGATGCAAACCACGTACATACGTTGTATCCAAACTGTATATTGTTATAAAATTGTATTCATCACGTAGGTTTAATGCATATAATATGAGATGCATTTTCGTTGGGCGGAATAGTCTGGAGCTCTCATTTCGGGTAAGGTCAAATTTCACTTATTTTGTTCGTTTATATTGCACTTGGGGTAGAAAAACGGTTATATGTTCGAATCGTATACTTTTCCTGTATACCTTCATAAACATCGCAATTGGCTGTCGGAAGAATAATTTGTATTTTTAACATTTAAAGATCATTGTTCATTGTATTTACTATAACGACATAGACATAGTTAAAGATTAATAATACAAAAATATGATTATTTCTTAAAAATAAATAATCAGCACTAATTTATATGTTATATAGTTAC